TCTTTGCTCTTCTCACCAAACACCTATAGACTCCAGACTAAATTACTTGTCTAGGGTGAATACAACACTAAAATTTTCCCTCTTGGCACTCCATGCATTACTATAGAACTGCTTGGGGGAAGTCATCAAGTTGAGAGGTGGAGGGTCCAACACGAAAAACTCAGGTCTGTCTGTGAGAAGATGGTGTGAGTGACTATCTGCAGGGATAACTGGCATCTCCAGCATTGCACTGAGCTACTTTGAACGAGGAGCACAGGTATGAGCCTGCCAGCAGAGGAGCTGGTAGTGTCTGGCACTGGAAATGTGGGGGAAGGTCCAAGCAGGAGCTCTGACCCATTTCCCCCAAAGTACATGAAGACCATGCAGCACCCTCAGACAAAAGCAGCAATCCAGAAGAATTTAAATAATACCCATTTGCTGTCTGCCTCCCAGGAGCCAGACACCTGCCAACATGATGGCATCTTTGAAAATCTCTACAAAACAATTTCTCAGAAATCTGCAGTTACCAAGCTCCAGTGCCCCCCTTCACAATGCTAAGATGATGAAGTGCATTATTTATGGATTCAAATGGTACATTCTTCTTCCAAAATGATTGTTGGATAATTGGGATAATGCCCTTGATTGTCTGCCTAAGTGAAATCTGGGTAGTAAATAATTCTTGGCTTTCAGCCATTTGATCTGCAGTCAGAACTGACTGAAAACTTACCATCAAGGCATTCAAGAATACTTAATCTTTTCAAATAAACAAAATATGTCACAGTAGTACTCCTCTTCCTTACAATACTTTATAGTATTTTACATCAAAATAATTTAAAAATATATTTTCCCCCTTCTAAAAACTTTTGCAATAATGTACAAAGCAATTACGACAATATTTTCCACCTTTTCCCCTCATCAACATCTTTCTATCATCAATCCTCTTGTCTAAGTAGATGACAGTCAAGACTGCAATGGGAAGGTTTCAGAAGGAAATTAAGAAAAGGTCTTCAGATTCCAGAGAGCTTTACAATGTGAAATGGGGGAAACTGAATCAATTTGGCATATAAAAGAGAGGGTTAAAACTGTGATAAATTTATTGGATGTTTCCACATTGCAGTAGTGGAAATAAATATACCCAAGGACCATAGTGGGATGTCTGTAGCTGTACTGTACAGCCACAGTAACATGTGTTTGGCATGTTAATTAACTCTGAGTTAATTGTCCCTGAGTTAGTTAACTCAGGAGTTACCACAGCTTTCAGAGCGAATTTTGCAGAGAGAACTGAGTCCTGGTTTTGCTGAACTGAAGGAGCAGAGAACTCATCTTGACAAGTTTGAAGCCTTTTGCTACACTGGAAAGGATATTTTCCTCTTGATTTCCACGTCTAATGTGGAGAGGTTCCACTTTTGATAAATGTATGAAAACTATCCTTCTGTCCTGCACTGTAAAATAAAATTTCACATCTGGTCCTTAAAACACCCTGTAGAACCCAACCCAAGGGCAGGAACTGCACCACAGAAATATCATGGATTATGATGTATGAAATACTTGTGAAACAACAGGTCAGCATCAACCCATCAACAGTGCAGACCTGAGCACCTGTGTGGGGCAAAGACTCAGACACCATGTACGTGTTCTGTTTTCTGGGCCTTTCTCATCTTTGTTTTCCAAGAAAAATGTGGTTTTCTGTAGCTCAGATTTGCTCCAAGCTACAACAACCTACAGGTGAGCTGCCAGTGTCAATAAGTTTCAAGGCAGTTGGACTTCTTCAGTTCCTCACACTTCTACTCTGGAATACTCCTGGGGATAGCTGTGAAATTTCAACTGATTTGCACTGATCCAGGATATTGCCTTGGACTTATGAATACAGAGATGAATAGGACTTACTGCAGAGAAAATAAGTAGATAGCTAATTAAGTGGGTATTTGTATTATTTCTAGAAGAATTTGGATGAAGATTGATTTGTCTCTGAGTGGGCAACATTGAGACATATCCCCAGATGGTGAAAATGCAATGAGAGAAGGGGGTGTGCACAAGCAAATGTATGGAATCAGACTGTGCACTCTTTCCACAGTCTTGTGATATTTCACTGTCATAAAGTCTGATGTTTAATCTTGGCCTGTTGCTATGCCTAAGTGCCAAGTACTTATTAGAACAAATTATTAGAAAAAATAAGCCAAACAGGAAATTAATAAAGATTCATTTATGTGAAAAAAAATGTTTCTCTCCACATCTGATAAACAGACAGGCAGGCAGAGCCGAAGGATCTCCATGTCAAATGAATATTTGAGGTACTGAAAAATAAATTTCAGTGAATTACAGGAGGTCCACCTGAAAGGATGCTAAATGTAGCTTCATTTTTTATTCCTACTGGGCATGAAAAAAGTTTATACACAATAAAATCACTAGGTGGAACTACAACATGTATGAAACTTAAGCTTATTAACTTGCCTTTCTATTGGTTTTCCCAGTTTTGATAAAACAGATTAATCACTGTAGAGTTCCTCCTTATTTGGAATAAAAGGCCTCAATATCCAGTCATTTTTATTTCCTGATTTCTCATATTTGTCTTGTTAAACGAGCTCAATTGTTTGTAACCTTACCCCACTGATGCCATGGCAAATATCTATCAGGAAATCACTTTTGCTCAGAACTGCTCAGCCCACAAGATTAATAAAGGCAGACCACACGGACATCCAACACCCATTTCTTGGCACTCTAAAAAACCTCCTGCCATAAAACACCCTCCAGTTTCTTCCTTTGTCTTCCTCCACAATTACTTTTTCTCAATTTCTGGGCATTATCCATCATCATCTTAGCTCACACATGTTGGTTTGCCCCTGTGACTTTCCTGTGACTTCTTATGGTGGGACCATTCTCCTCCTTTTATAGGTGGGGGCACTGCAGCAGAATGTGATGTCAAGATGAGGAAAGGTGTAGGCAGCTGTGGGCCTCTTCCAGAGTACAGGAGGAGGAGGATGACAAACATTAAGATACAACAGAAAATTAGGAAATAATTAAAAAAAAAAAAAACCAAAAAAACCCCACCCAATAAAAAAATAACCCCCTAAAAACAAAACAAAAATTAAAAAAAAACAAAAAAAAACCAAAAAAACCCCAAAAAATATACCAAAAAATCACCCCATTTAATTTGGCTTGGGCATTTGTGGAATCTAATGCTTTGAATATTTTCAGGGCATAAAAAGAATAAAGTGTATAACCACTCTTAATAGCTTTTCTGACATCTGGGTCATTCATGTTGATGCTGTGTTTTATTTCACTAGACAGTAACCACAGAATCCAGAAATCAAACAAAAAAGAGCTCTCAGTGATAGAAGTATGGTGATATGGCACAGAAGAATTGTCTCTGCCTTTGTTATCTGTGACCACCAGAAATACAGTCAGGAAGAGAGAGAACATCATAGTTGCTTTAAGATGTGTATTAACTCTCAGACAACCCCATCTCCACTTTATTTTATCCATTTTCAATTTACCTAATTTTGCATTTCACTCCTGACCTGCAGCACTTCATCTGGTTTCAGGGAAAATCTTGCCTGATTTCTTTATCAATTCTCTCCAGACACAGTAATTATCAGCTCTGAGAAGTCAAGAGGGCAGTTTCTCACAGAAACCTTAAGAATAAGTGATTTAAAAATTTGTATAACAAACTATTCTAGATATGATAGTTAAATTTCCCCCTGAGCTATAAGGTTTGGGAGCTGAATGTTTCTTCTGTACTATTGAATAAAAAATGAGTTTCTGTTACAGATTTCTAAAGAAAGCTCTCTGACAAATATGCTGCAGATTTCTGCTGAAGTGACTTGGGTTGGTAGTGCAGCTCATTGCTTCTTATTTTCTTTTCTCATTTCATACCCAGCCAAGATGACAAAAGTATAAAATCTTAAAGTAAGTTTTCTCAAGCACATAGAATGTGGTTCAAATAGACATGGAATGTTTTTGGAAAACCCCATTTTCCTGATGGAAGATGAAGTGTCACATTAATGGGGATTGCTGCAGCTTAATGGAATAAATGCTACATCTGTGATAACCAATAACTTAACCAATGAATTGCTAAAATGCTTTTTAGCTCTTAATCTGTGACCTACTGTTTAGGCTCCCATCAATCTCAGGGATATTTTTTCCCCACAGCTGAATGGAAAAATAAAAACATTTTATTATTGAAAAGTCTTATTTTACATAGGTAAAAAATTTGCTCTGTTCTTTTTTTCCTCTTTGGGAGGTTTCAAATGATGAAATCCTTCCTCTGTATCCCTCAGCCAAGGGAACAGAAGTGACATGGTGCTGATGCATTTTAGAAGGACGAGGCATTTAGAAGGGTGGGTGCTGCCATCACCTGCTAGGTTGCCTCCCATGGGAAAACCAAATCAGTGGGAGGGCTGGAAGCACAGGACAGGAGGACAGTGCACTGCTGGAGAAACCTGAGCTGGCTTCACCCTGATTATTCAGGGTGTCTTTCAGTTCAAAGGCAAAGAAGTTGGAAAGAAGCAACTTGGTTTTAAGAAGCTTATCACAGACCCCAAGAAAAGATGGCTGTTTTGAGAATAAATTGCCTCATCAATAAGCCAAAATATTTATTTTCTAATTTTACACTTAGTTTTACAGAACTTTCAGACAAGCAATATCAGTATTTCAAATTAAATGGATATTGACTTTCCAGAATGCTGGAAACTCACTGATGTGTTCAGCAGCAGGGCTGCTGAGCATCCCTGGAGTGCAGATTTGTTCAACCACTGGTCTCAGCCTCTTGAGAGCCTCTAGACAATCAGATACTGAAATCCGCTAAAATAAAGAAACTTCAGGCAAAAGTAATTGCTTTAATTGCAAAATTTGAGATGTCACCTGCAATTCAGTTTCAAAAGAGTAGAAATCTTTTTGAAACCCTGCTCTGTCTTGGCCCTGGCAGATTGAAAGTGAAGCTAAGAGTGGGGTTACCCTCTGCACAGGGCATGGCATCACACACTACAGCAGTAACTCGCAGGAAAAGAAGCAAACCCACCCAGTCAGGTTTCATGTAACTTTTTATTAAAATAGTACTTACAAATAACACATCTTATAAAATTACAGAGCCCAATTTTAATTCCTGAATATTACAACTCAGCATTAATATTGCCACATATTTAGAAATGGTGTAAAACAAGTACATTGGGATCTTTAATACAAAATAAACTTGTTTGATGGAACAAACTATCTCATATATCTATACAGAAAACAATTTTTTTTCCAAACAAGAGCTACAATTAAAACAAGCCTTAAACTAATTAAAACTAAAACTACCTTAAACTAATTATTAACTAAATCTCCAAAGCAGAAATGGCTTCACATTAAACTATTCCATGAGAAATGGACCTAACATATGTTACTATATATTACTACTATATTTCGCAATATTAATTATATTACTTATATTGTATTATACTACATTATAAAAATATATTACCACTACATTACACTATTACTATATAATAATATATATTATAAGAGAGATCTATGTGATGGATTGCAGCTGGTTCTGTATGTTAATATTAAACAGCTGCAGCACTGGAAAATCCACAATAAAAGTTCATATTTTAAAATTTCAGCTTCCTTTAGGAGTCCAGACGAGCTCTTTTCTTTGGTGATGTCCCATCATCTTCACCATCAGGATAACCAAATATTTCAAAGATACCTCTCTGCCAATTAGAAGAAGGTAAAAAAATGAAATTCCCACTGTGAAAAAATACATGCTGCACATCTGTTTTGCCCCCAAGTCTTAGGGGTGAGCAATAAAATTCTTGCCACAGTTTTCTGTAGTTGCTCAGAAGCTAAGATTCAAATAATGCTCAGCTGTAAAAGGCATAAAAGAGGTATCACTTCCTGCATTTTATCTGTTTAAAAACACTTATTAATTCCCTGATGGGGGACAGATTCCACAAAAGGCAATCTCACAGGGCACCAGCTGGGCAGGGATGAAAGCCAAGGAGTAGCAACAGTTCAAGCATGCAGAAGAGGCAAAATTAGCCTGTGCTCACCAGATTAACAGCAGACTCCAGTCCTGCCTTATCCTCCTTGAACCTTACCCCAGACTAGTCAGGGTTTCACTCTTGGTGAAACTAGTCAGGGATTTGGGTGAATTTGTACCCAACTAAGGTACCCTGTAACAGGCTATTGCTGACATTACACCCAGTAAAGCTCCACGAGGCTGCTCTGCTGTCCTACATGAGGACAGGAGCTTCCATCAAAGTTCTTTCTCACCTTGGGGGATGTCTCCACTGTGTTCAGGGTTGTGCACATTGGATGGGAGCCACTGGAGCTTGCTGGTGGTGCTGGTGCTGCCTTCTCTTCACCTTCATTGAGCTGCACATCTTCAGCCACCTGTGAGACTGCTGCTTCTTTGACAACTGTCTCACCAGGCAATGTGAAGGGGATGCTGCAAGAGACGTGGGACAAGTGATTGAAGCTTTGCCTGATGTTTCAGACTCAGCCAGGTCATAAATGGCTTCCAAAGCTTTAGAATTAATTGCCTTGGAGAAGACAATCCAGCTCCATCCCTGCTTCCACCCTCACCATAAGCTTCACAAGTACCCAGGTGATGGTGAGGCAGACTGAATCCTAACTCAGAAGAACAAAGCAAGATTTTACCCTTCATAAGCTGAGAATTTTCTGAGCAGAACATTTAATCTACTGACCACATCAGCTCTACTCAAAGAAAGGTAGATGGGGGTTTACTCTAACCCAAGAAGTTTTCAGCCAAAATTAAATCCAACGCCAATCCCAGCCACCTGCTTCTGCTGCTATATGGGGAAATTAAAAACCAACCAGTAGGCCTGCAGAATGGCAGTCACTGGCAGCCTCATAAGGCAGAAACTGGACCATACCTGTTCAGTTGCTTGTTTTGCTGCTCTTTTTTGTGCTCATATTTTGTCTTCAGTGCCTGGAATGTGTGAAAGTGTTTGACAGATTGCAGTGCATCAGAGAAGTTCTCAACTATATGTGTAATAAGGATCTGAATATCCTCCTGAATAAGAACAAAACAGGGTTTCAGTCTCAAATGTTCACACACAGAAAGTCAGAAAGCTTTTAACTTTATTTTGGAAAGTAACTGATTGCTTGTCCAGAACCAAAATATTCTTGTCAAGAACAAATGGGAAGCAATCAGATTTACTCTGAGGAAAAAAGCTGAGATCTAGAATGAATTATTAAACTTCCCTTAGAAAGGGATAATAGACAATAAATGTCCCAGTCCCATTTGTGACCCTTCCAGTAAAACAGGATGTTTGCTATCTTGGAAAATCTGTGAGGTCCTGGACATGTTGGTGCTGAGGCTGTGCTGCTGAACTCACCTTTTGGATGAATTCAAACAGCTCCATGGAGGCAGACTTGAACAGGTTGCACTTATTCCCGTTGTCCAACACAGCATTTACAACAGGCTCAAACAGGTTTCCCACAGTGATGTAACAGTTATAAAGTTCATCTTTCAGGCCAATTATCCTCCTCATGAAGCGAAGAGCAGCTGTGTGAAGAAAGACATTCAAGCATTCAAGCACATACCAGGCTCTCACCTTCTTGTGGAAGAGTTGAAAACCCAGGTGTAACCCCAAGAGGAAGATGCACCCTCAAAGTGCAGAAGCAGATTTATTGATAGGTCACTTTTCTTTCCTTCTTGGACTTTCCTGGGTATTTGAAGGTCATCAGAAATCATGGATTTCTTTCTAAATTCCAGCAGTAATACATTCCAGCATGCATGAAGATAAACTATTAACTCCCCACCGTGCTTTTGTCCTTGTTCCCCTCCCAGAACCAGCCCTAAGTCTTTAAAGATCCTGGTTCACAGAATTTCATTCACTCTCTGTAAGGAGAACCAGGATTTAGGATATTATTAAGAAAGGACACAATTTCCACTGAAATGAGGCAAGAAATCTGATTACAAAGGATCGTGTCATGAAGATTTGAAAGGATCCCTGTAGACTTCAAAAGAGACAACAATCCCCTTCCCACAAGAAACTGCATTGGTCTGTGCTTACAGACAGCCAATACCTCCTTTTTTCATTAATTAAATTTTTCCTTAAATTACTTAATTGTAGCCTGTAAAACACAGCAAATGAAGAGGAATTCTGAGTTCAAGTGTACACTGGTACTGCTACACCTTCCACACAGGACACACAAAGCCTTGAAAAAGGAAATCACAACAGTTCCATACTCACACAAGGCCAGAAATTTGTGTTTGGATTTCAGCAAGACCAGTATTCGTCTTAGGAGATCTTTCTTCATGACGAAATTTTTCATGTGATATTTGTGCTGTTCCACACAAAAAGACAACAGCTCCAAAACCGAGGCAAGTGTTTCTGCTGTTTGATAATTATCTACAAGAAAAATTAATGCCATAGGTTGTACAAAAAAAAAAAATTTACTGTCAAAGTACACTGTGCTCAGTTGCTATTGCAGTTGCTGACATATTTTTATTAGACTTTTGTTTTATTGGATTGATTTGGGAAGCAGGGCATTGGGTCAGAACAAAAAAAAAAAAAAAACCAAACAAATACAACTGTGGCTATTTTGCCTTTACAGTAAGTATTCTTTAAAATTAGACTAGTAAAACCATGGGATTATTCTCAATATACATGAAGGAAGTTCATCTTTACAAAATACTCCATCAAGTTATGTCAGCATTCACAGCTTCAGGAAAGGGATATGAAAATCCTGCCCCCAGAATCCCTGGGGACTTGCTTGCAGCAATGTATTCCCAGCAGGCATCACAGGTCTATTGCTGTTACCAGGACTGTAAGGCCTTTCAAAGGGAAAAAAAAAAATAAAATTTTCATTACCTATTTCATACCATTCTTCTGATGTATCAGCCAGAAGCGGCGCTGTAAGAACATGAATGTAACGGTCGTAGAAGACATCGAGAAATTCAAATACTTCTAAATGCTAAAACAAAAATAATTTCATTAAACGCTGGCATTCACAGACAGCCTTATAAATAACAGAGTAGTAACAGAAGAAACAGCCTACAAAGAATTTTACTAAGTTTTTTGGTTCTGCAGCACTGTTCACACAAGATCAATTTCTTTATTTTGGGACAAATTTGTGTTTCTTGTGTCTCCAAATAAGCTAGCTATCACTAAAAGAATTCCCAGCATGGATGCTGGAAATATATACTGGAAAAAACACCAGTGACTCAAAGTGCTTGATAAAGTGTCCTTAAACCATTCTGAAGTGTACGTAGTTTTGCTCAGAACAACCTGTAAGCCATTTTACAGGTAGTCTGGTACTTAACAATGGATTAAAACCTTTCAGGATTTATCATCCAGATGGAGAGAGCTACAGTCACATGGGATTGTGTGGTTTAATGCTGGCATGATGCCCCAGACACATACCTTTCAGCAGAAAAATTAGATTATTTTTTGCCTGTTTAAAGTCACTATCAGACCTCACTCCACTCAGTTAAAAAAAATCCTATAATTTTTTATCCTCTGCCCACAATAACAGCAATAGAGAATACCACTCTGCCATTCATGTTCTCTTACACTAGCTGTGGCCAGCATTTCCTTTGGATCGATCAGAGCACACAAAATGTCCATTAACTGAATATCTCCTCCAAATTCGGGGTCAGGACGACAGATTATCCGCTTAATGATCTCAGTGATGAGTTGGGTATCCTGCAAAAAAAAACCCAAAGAAAGAAATCACAAAATAATTATTCACAAGGATGGAATGAGTTCCCTATATTCTGCAATTTAAAAAAAAAAAAAAAAAACCACAGGAATTTAGGTTTTATATTGCTGGTTATTTTCCTGTTTGCCCTAAAAGTGTTATATTCAACAAACTCCAAACCACTTTTACTTACATTCTCACTCTGCTGAGCCTCTTGTATTACAAATTTATGGATGGTGGCTGTATTAAAGTCTACTAGATAAGACAATATATCTGTAGCATCAGATCTAATTCGCAGATCATCCATTCCCTCACAAAAAAAAAAAATAAAAGGAGATTAATTTGTTAGAGTAAATAAAGTTTGGTGTTTATTATCACATGAAGATGCAAAGAGGAGGCAGTTTAAAAACTGGAGAACATTTTATTGCAAAAAATTTCATGACAAACACAATAATGTGGTTACAGAAGAACAACAAGGAACCAGACAAATCCTTTCCCTACTACTTTCCTCCTTTGGAAAGGACACAAGGTTTTCTGTGTATTTGAGAGCCCTAACTTAGGCAGGAAACATTCACAACATCCTACTTGCTTGAATATCTAAGACTTTATTGATTTTCTATGCCTGCTATCCGCAATTTATTAATTTTGTACTAAAGGACCAACTGTACAAATCAAGCTGAACCACAGTTTCTGTGCCCATTTACAGGCAACAAGAATCCAGAACTTTCCTTAAGGGATGTGATTTTCTCTGATAATAAAAAACAACAATCAAGCTTCCACATGAAAAAGTCCTTTTCACCTTTTGACTACCTTGTCACAAGGACTTCATGGCCCTCAGACTTCTCCATCATGAAGTCTGAAAAGTAAAAAATAGTAAGAGCAGTCAAGCCAGGCTACTCCAGAGCAGAGCTGGACATTACCAGATCTGGATTCTGGACATTACTAGAAACCTCCACTCTTAGCAGAGTAAAACTTTCTAATCAGACTTACAAAAAGGTGCTCAGCAGACTAAAAACAAAAAACCAAACTAAACCAAACCAAACCAAACAAAAAACCACAACCACTATATGCCTGTGGGCTTTTCTAGTTTTATTAAAACCAGTTCTAAGTTTTCACTTACCATTAACATTTTAAGAATTGGAAGAAATCTCAGCTTTGACAAAGTTTGAAGAAATTCATCTCTTTTCTCGGGTAATGCGATAGAAAAGGCACAGAATTCCTTGAAAAACTTCATCTGGTGCACAAGTGAAAAAAAAAAAAAAAAGGTTCTGTGTATTTGAGTCAGAAAACTCTCTGAAAGGAGGAAACAGTTACAATTTTACTGGGGACTGTACTGCCTGATTCTCCAGAAGTACTTCTAAGACTGCAGAACTCTCAGAACAGTTTTACTTCATCCCTCTTATTTAAAGCCTTTGAGGAACTACCCAGACTGCTGACTTACCAATTCATATTGTTGCTCACCAGCTGTAGCTCCATTTGTTAATTTTGCAAAAACTTCAGGCAAAAATTCCTCATCTTGCTGTGAAGCACACAAAAAGAACAGAAATTACTCAGTGCCTTCTGAAAACTGAAATCTGATTGAATTTCAGATTCACATCCTCTACTGGTGTAAGATATTTAAGGATATATAGGACAACACTACACTTCTTGCAAAGCATTTAATTCTTTAGACTCCAAGAAACCCAGGAATATCTTCATCTCTCAAGGGTTTTGGCACTTTCTGCCATATCTGTACACCCATTTCTCTGCACCCCTTTACATGGAAAACAGTGTAATAAATGTCCCTGGAATGAAATACCAAAAGTTATGTATTCCTTAAATACTTTTACAAAACCAGCTCCAAAGTTTTGCTCAGCAATCAAAGAGAAGAACTTTATCTTTTTACAGCCCATAAAAAGTATTGAGATATTCGCCTGAAATTTATCAATTTGAAAATACAAAAAATCCAAGGGATCAGAAAGAAGGGAAAGCATTCAAAACATTGTGCGAATGAAAGTGCCTGTGATTAACTTATGCAGTGTTCACCAGCTTTAAATAATTTCCAAACTACAGCCAGAGGGATCTCTACAGATCCCACCTAAGCCACATTAAAAAACACTTACCTGCAACGCATGAAAAATCTCATTTTTGCTGGAGCCGATGAAGGAATTGAGGGTAGAAAGACAACGCACTTTAAGATATGGTGGGTTACGCATGATGATGGTGTGAATGTACTCCACCCTGGATGTCTGGAGGAATTTTTGCCTGAGTTCAGGGTCTCTGATGGGAATAACCTCCTGAAGCTTTTCTGTTTTGGCCAAAAAATCCCTGTGCCATCCTGGCTGAGCCAAACAAGGATCGTATTCAAGGCATCCAACAACACCCAGAATACACTCATCAGAAAACAGCACCTCAAAGAGAATGGCTTTGTCCAGGTACAAAATTCCTCTCACAATGTCAAACAGAAGATGCAAGCCTTCAGTGTTCTTTGCACTCTCACATTCTTGGAAAAGCTGTAGCAGCTTTGGAATATAGCCTTTCTTCTTCAAGGTCAGCGCTAGCTTTTTCCTACAGATGCGTGAGAGGCAAACAGAAGCCACCAGCTCTGCGATCTCTCCAAGTCTGTGGAGTTCACAGGGGGGAAGGGCCATCAAATGACTGACTCTACCCGTGCGTTTAGGCATTTCTCTTCTGACTCGAGAAGGTGCTGGGTGACTGCTAGAGAACGACACCAATACCCAAAGGGGACGAGAGGGAAGCCAGACAGGAGCTCACGCTGCAGTGCCCTCCTGCTGCTCTGCCCCGGCAGTTCCTCAGGTGTTCTGCAGTGCTTGTGATGTCACCTGGATCCGAGCCTGCTGGTTGGCCCGTCCCTCTAACTCCCAGGTTTTAGAATGTTGGGCTCATGACCGGCCAGGGTCAGGCGACCAACGGCTGCTGTCTGCTGTTGGCCTTTTAGAACTCCTAGAGTCCCTTCCAGTGCCTGCAGAAGGCTGGAGAGGGCCTCGTCCCAAGGGCAGGCAGGGAAGAGGGGGAATAGCTTAAGCTGTTTCTATTGGATATGAGGAAGAAATTCTGGACAATAAAAGTGGTCAGGCACTGGCACAGGTTGCCCAGAGAGGTCGTGGCTGCCTCATCCTTGGAAGTGTTGAAGGCCAGGCTGGATGGGGCTTTGAGCTACATGGTCGAGTAGATGTCCCTAACTATTGCAGGGGCATTGGAACCACACAAGCTTTTAGGTCCCTTCCAAACCTAGCTATGATCAAATTGTCATCATGGAAGCATGCTGGGACACTCCCTGAACTGCCCTGCAGCTGAGGACTATGGGCTTATCAGAAACAAGAGGCTAGGAAGTGTGTGTGTGTGTGTGTGTGTGTGTGTGTGTGTGTGTGTGTGTGGGGGGTGGGGGTTCAGTGTTAAGGAAACTTCCCTGTCCAACCACCCAAGAGGCACTCTGGAGTCACTCTCACATCATCACTTGGGACCAAAGGCCTTCCCAGCTGTATCCCCCACTCCCAAAAAGCCAGACCAGGCTTCCTTACCAGCTTAGCCCTGGGTTTCCCATAGCAGAGTCTCACACGTCCAGATCCTCAAAACAGTTTAATCATGATGCAGTAACTAAATAACAAAATAACAACTCAAGGTGGTGCCTCTGAGGAGGAACCTTGAATAAAGAGCTTTGATCCCCTCACTGTCTAATGTGAATGTCTGGGCTCATCAGCTCCTACAGTGTCGCTGAGTCTCCTGGCTGCCCCACAGGTCCCTGCAAAGGGCAGTTTGTGGCCTCTTGCCTTATGCTTGGGCTCCTGCCCCCTCAGAGCTCAACCTGCATCTTGTACTGCAGCTGCATCCCGAGTTCCGTTGCACTGAAAGTCTAGACATATCACCCTGAGGGACTGAGGAAGGCAGAAAAGAGACCCTGAGCTGCCTTCAAATATCATTACTATAATTTCTAATATCTAGATTCTAATTAATTAGATATTTTCATATGTTTTCATTAGCTGTAGTGCTGTAGTTGTATAATTATCACAATTAAACTTTCTTACCCAGAATAAGAAACTCCAGAAACCCACACGTTCTAGCCTCTGAAAAATCCCTTTCATGCCCTTCTATTTAGTCATCGTCATCTTAGCCCTGTATTAAATTCTAGCTACAAGCATTTCTACACTGAAATCCTTATTGACTACATCTGTTGGATCTAAAGTTTCTCCCTCTGCATTTTTGCAAATTTGTAACAAAACAGAGCTGACAGAAAAAGACACAGGAAGCAAATGTTGGGGTGGATGCCCATTCAGGCAGAAAACCCTCTCACTCCAGAATAATGAAATTTCAAGTACCAAAACCTGTGGTAAGGCTGGATAAGACAAGTAAAGCTCATTATTTTGTATTAAGCCATAGTAGAATCAAGTTTACTTTCTTGCAAAAGACTGAACATGTCAAGATCCTGATCTTGCACAGAAAAATGAGTGAAAGTTACTGATATACTAGAAAGCAAAGTTAAGGAATGTGTACCTTGCCAGAAAATTGTAGTTATCAATTTTGCCACCAGCCTCAATGACAGTGGTAAAAAGTTTTCCTGTGTGCTGGGGAAGGGTTGGAATTTTAAAAAATTTTCAGTCTTGAAGCACCACTGTGTGTTACAGTCAAATTGCAGAATAGCCTTTGAGTATTAAACAGATGGAGAAGTTTTAAAGGTGGCAATTTTGGACAACCTGCATGTCACACCTCTGCCTTTTGTATTCGAGTGGCACCTAGGAGCAGACTGAGGATGAAAATGTTTTAAAATAATCTATTTCAGCTAGGAGAAGCAATATCCTCCATAGAAATGAAATGGATCTATGCCATACATTTATTTTCAGGACATAGCTGGGACACGAGCAGGACAACTGAAGGAAATTCGTGTGGGATGCAGAGGGTGTTCAGCTTCCATCAGTCCCAGCAAGCCAGTGTTTAGGGGAAAATGATCACAACAAAGTAAATTTAGTCCTTCTGCCTACATCAAAAAAACCTTCCCAGAAGTACTAAAGTTTTAATTAAATTGCTGTTTTCATTCATTCAATTTTAAAGACCAACTTATCTTCTGGGAATTTTAGCAACCCTAGGATATCAGAGCAGAATATTTTATATAATTAAACCAATCTCACAACAAATTCTGGACTGGCTGTGCAGCACAGCAGTCCCTGGGCAATCAGCACCTTATTCAAAATCTGTTTTTTGCTTAGCCTGTGCTTGGTGATGGTGCTTTGAGCCAGAGAAGGGACAGAAACCTGTAAAATGCATCTTTTCCTGAGCATCTGGCCCTCTCTGCTCCCAGTGAGGCAGCCGTGGGTCCAAATGCTAGAGGGTAAATATCACTCCTTTTCTGCAGACACATGAGGGAGGTTTACTAAAAATCATGCCCAACATGCAGGTGAGATAGCCCAGTGCTTCTGGAGCCCTGCACAGCACAGCTGGAATTAATCAAAACAGCTGCCTTGAAATGTACATCCATATAGACACAAACAACGGATTTGGTCCCCCTGACTATTCATTTATTTCCTTACTTCTCAAATTCAGACAGACACCATTTAAATCAAACACTACATTTCAAATCATGTCCCTTCTTGAGACTAAAGAAAACAAATCCCTGGCTGCTATTTACTTTTCAGTTCTTTTGCAGACACTACAGTCCTCATAATTCAAACATTATCCAAGGGGAAAAACGAATGTTCTTCATGTAATTATGTTTCAAATATTTCACTTTCAGGTCATTAAATCCCTGGTATCTTCCTCCCACTCTCCAAGCACCCCCTTGTGTTGTTGCTCTTCAATGGCTGTTGCCTGTGTGACCAGCCTTCCCAGCTAAGGAGCCACAAATACTGCAATTATTGCTATATTGCCATTAATGGAACACACAGTAAGGTGCCCAAACAGCTGAAATTACTTATTCCAAACTGTCATCTCTTGTGTTTATTGACTATGAACTCGAAAAAGACACTTGCTGTTGTGCTGCTTGTTCATTGCTCTGAAGAAAGACCATCCCAGTTAAACCTTTCTCCTTAGAACACCTTGTCAGAAAATTCCTTTTTTTTTTTTTAATCTTCCACCATTCCACTACTCCTTTCTTCCTATCTCCTAATATTCATGATTAATGAATTAACATTGAGGTCATTGCCTCAAGGAAAGTTCAGGTCTGTGGTGAATGGACAGTAAAAGTGCAGAAATCTGATGCCTGTCACTGTCCTGTCGCAAGGAACTCCAGAAAGTCAGCACAAGTCACCTGAATTCTCCCATAAAACGAGGGAAAATGTTCCATACTCTGACCCCAGAGGTCTTCTGGGAATGGGAATCCCTCCAAAGAAAGTTTCAGTTCTAGAACATGAACTTTTTTTAAAAGCATCTTTTCAGAAATAAACTCCAGAACATGACCATGGATAGAGATCAGGATGATTAGAACTATCAGGATCAAAACATCTACACTTCTGGGTTATTTTGCCAAAGAGTATTGATGTTCTTGTCTTTGAGCTTTCATGGGTATCTTCCACTGTGGTGCTGATGAAGGAGAACACAGAATTCCTCATAGGCACAATGTGACAAGGGCAACTTCCCAGAATTGAATGACACTTGGTTCATGCAGAGCCTTGTATAAGGAAGTCCTTAAAAAAGCACAGTACAATTGAAATATACAGAATAAAGAATGGGAGTAAAGTTGACTATTAAGATTTTAAGGTGCTGATACTGTAACTCTGAAGTAGCTTCAAAAAAAGGTGACTTCAAAGTGCCTGGATCCAGAGTAACATATCAAAAAATGTTTTGATTTGAAGGAGATTAGGACAGTATTCATGCAGGAGGAAACCTCCTGCCTGTTTAAGTGCATTATGGATTCTGGAGGAATGGCTTCACTGTGGCAATCCAGCTGTCAGTTTGTTTGAGTAAACATGCACTCGGCCCAAACAATAATGTTTTCTTCCAAAACTTGCTAAATGTCTCCACAAAGTGGATTAAAATTACGCAGTCAGCAGTTTTCCCTGATTGTTGATAAAACTCCGAAGTTGAGAGAACAATCAGCAGTTAAAGAATTGCCGCATGTTTGTGTGTGAAATTTGTGAAATCAGGGACTATAGAAACAAAGTCTTCAAAAATCAGGATTGTTTTGACTTTTGTTGATGAACTATGATGCTCAGAAGGATTTGCACAGTTCACCAGGAGCAGCTCTGATGTGCTGGTTCCCTGAGAGTCAGCTCATTACATCCAGAACAGCAAATGTCACTGATTTCCTTTCTTCAAAATTAAGGCTTGACAAATGGGCATGAAATACTGTCTGAAAGAAGATAAAAACCAATGAAAAGTCTATGAAAATCGTTGTTCTGAACTTTAGAAAAAATTTGAATACTTACAAAACATTCTGGCCAGCTGTTGTTATTAGACATAAAGTGGTTATCACTGTTATCACTGTTGTTATGATGAAAATGATAACGAGCTCCCTGACGTCAATACAAGGCTCAAAACAACATCTTCTGAAGTATAAAAAAAAAGCCTTGAATAACTATTTATCTCTTAAAAACAAAAAGCGATTGTATATGAATAGATAAAAAAATATATTGTAAATAGGTCTGTATCTTAGCCATGCAAAATGTTGGATAAGTTTTGAAAATGTAGAGGTTTAGACATTTTAATTCATAGAAAATACTAACAGAGGTGCTTTGGTGCAAATATAAGAAGTGGAAGTATGTTTACTATCAGCATGAAAGAATGTTTAGAAAATAGAGATCAAATGCATAAAATTACTGGAAAAAATGAAAACGTTTATGGCCTTAACTTGGTTGCTTGGTTTTACTTCACTCCCTGTATCTGCTATACTCAGTGGTGACTGTTTGTGCCAATAAGTTCAAGACAAAAAGAGGAATTCAAGTCCTTTACTGTATCTCAGTAAATGTACTTTATTCTCTCAGAGCAGGTATGTAGGAAATTATTAAAATGACATTTCTGGGCTTTGGATTTCTGGGGTTCTCTCTGTTCAGGGAAGTGTTCAGTGATTAACATTCTGCATTGCTCTGCAATTAAATTTATCTCAGTATACATTAAAAAAACAAACAAATAAAAAACAACAACAAAAAAAACTTTGCAAAATTGGAGTGTAGGGACTCAGGTT